CTAGTCTTACACTGCTAAATTAGGGACAGATAGCCCTCGTGTAGCTTTGCGCGAAATTCCAAAACAAACAAACAAAATCGTTCATTTTAATATTTTTACGGTGAACGTACTGTTGCGTGGAGCGTAATCGATGACATTTATTTTTCATTAATATATTTCTCTCAGAGTAAAGTCATGATCCAAATATTTTGGAGTTTTGAAACTGAATTTATTCTTTGTCAAATTACTCGGAGAGTTTAACCCTATTCTGAAACAGTGATGGTCCAATGATTTTACCAAAATAACCTGGAGTGGCTGCCGCCAAATGATTTGAGTAGCCTTAAAAGGTTTTTGTTTGTCTTTTAGCGCAAAATTGCACAACGGGGAATCTGTGTTGTGTTCTTTGTGGACTTTCAACCAAAGAATCTAGTGTTATAAAATCCTAAAGTCTACCGTTAAGGGCTCCGAAAGGGCTGTCGTCAACTGATTTTACTCAACATTTTCTGGTAGTTTTAATATAAATTTGAAGCGATTTCTATAGATTTAAAATAAGTAAGATTTAGGCAAAGTGGTTAAACGATGTGCCAGTTTAATATTATGTACTTGAATTTATGTAAAGGTATATCTATACATTTTTCAGACAGCACGAACAAAAAACAGTCACACATAAAACATGGGCAAATAAAACTAGAGCAGAAACTACAATGTGGGAATAATGAAATATATCCTAATCAGAGCAGATGGGAGCGCTCAAACCCACAACATCCCATACCTAACCCACTCTTCACTGTCTGCAGCCAGTTGCAGAAGCGTTTTTAACATTCAAGCTATTCGGTGCAATTTTCTTAGAGGGCCCGTCCGTACTGATCAACTATAGATATAGAAATTTATAAGTTTTTGGCATTACTTTGGGACTCTTCGGTGCGTTGCCCAGATTGCGTCGACGTTAAATACGACATTGGACCAGTTAAGGAAAGGTAGACCCTCATATGAACACAGAATTATAAAACTGAAGAAACACATACATATACACAACAGTTATGCTAATTTTAATATAAAGACAGCATTTCGTTATTTTGGATGATAATATAAATCGACTTTTTGAGAAAACAAAGTTCTTTGTGTGTATATATAGAAAACAACTAGGAACATATTCTCATTTACCTGCCAGTATTTCAGGCTGCACATCAGATTTTTATAGTCAGAGAAGACCAGTCTTCCAGTTCCTGAGTTCTGTGTTATTAATTAGGGAGACTATATCACAAACTTCATGCTTAAATACAAGCTTGTGAACCTAAGAGCGTAGTTTGTTTTTCTTTTTAGGGTGAATGAAAATGTTTTACAAAACTGCAATGACATTATAACTAGACAGGCCAAAATGGACGAATCTAGTAATAAATAACATTGTAATGAAAATATCAGTTATAAAAATATGAACAGAAACAACACTCAACAAAATAGGGAAATTATTTATGTTACCATGCTTGTATAAAATCAGACTGTTTAGTTTAAGTCATGAAATGATACTAAATAGAGAACATGAGTCGTGGTGCATGTTTACGTATAACACCGAGACTAAAGAAAGGATACATCAAGAGCGAGGATCACTTGCCGACACACATCTAGCGTAGCACAGCTCTTCACGTAATCTGCGTGGACATAACAGTTTTAGTTACAGATAAATTCAGAAGGTCAGAGAAATTAACTACATTTAAAATAACACAAAATGTTTTTATTTCAACAAATTTGGAAAAATTACATATATAACAAACAAGGATATCTGGAACTTGTTACACAGGAAACAATCACATCAGATTTTCATAATTTTATGTTGTTTTTAGTTTTAATATCAATCAATATTCAAACTCTCTCAATCTCATAAATTTTGTTCGAACTTGAAACTAAACAATGAATGGAAAATAAAACCTGTGAGAACAGTACTTTAAAAGAGTATTAACTTTAGTGAAATACGTGTTAGGTATCGCTATTGAAAATTAATAGGAATGAAACCTATGATTAAATACTATTCCTCGACATTCCAATTTCCATTTTAGTAAAATTCTGCGAAAAAAGGCGAGGGTCAGATAACACTTCTTGATAAACTTTCTACATGCAATCAGTGTACGTAGACATCGGATTTCGAGGTTACGTTTAAGTAGACCAAAGCGCTAAAAGTCCATTGGAGCTGCATCAGGAGACTTAACAAACATGTGGTTGCTGTGATTCCAGTATCTTCGGTCATCGTTTTCACGAAAACGTGGATATAAAGTTGACGGAGTTTTACGAGTTTCCAGCCACACCTCGAAACTTGTAAAACTCCGTCAACTTTAGATCCACGTTTATAAGGTTGTTACTAGACGGGGAGCGTTTCTCCGGATTAGTGTGGAATTTAGTTTCGGGATTGGATTCAACTATACGAGTGTTTCACTTTCATTTAACATTTTCACTATATGTACATGAATATTTTTCTTTGGAAATGCCCCCCCCCCACAGTGGCACAGCGGTATGTCTGCGGACTTACAACGCTAGAATCCGGGTTTCGATACCCGTGGTGGACAGAACACAGATCTTTGGAAATGGCTATGACGTATAACTCCAACCAGAAAGCAATCCTGGCGCCTTTTCACTGTCTGGAATTCTCCTTAAACCAAATATACATGTACTAAACATGTCTTCCGTGACGCTACTCCTCCAACTTATACCAACACGCCACTGTATCACTAAAAACAAATCGTTGTTATAAAATACAATGAACCATTGTTTCTTTACCCTTTCTATAGCTAGAACATTTGTTTAATCACAGATAATTTTACAATATCTTTTAAAAAACTCGCAGCAATGCTTAACAAATAAATTTCTAGTTTTCTGAAACCACTGTATGTGAGAAGGTGGATTCTACCAAGACCTGAAACTTTTGTCGCAACATTGAAATGTGTGTTTCCAGTATTAAGGAGTCGGTTGTAAATAATAATTAAAACAATCAAGATGTGCTTATCCATTATGAGTTAACATTATACAGAGATGTCACAGACTGGATTTGTATTAGTATTAATTTAACAAATGTTTGAATGATATTTTCAATGCCGAAGAACCTTGACCTAATAATTGCTTCGGTTCAACCAGTCAGTTGTTAACTATATTTTTTGTGACAACTGAACACTTAAATAAAGTTTGAGTTACCTGTAGTTGAAGAGAGCTGAAAGTTAGAATTTGATTTATAATTGCAGATGTACTAACGCCATTTTGTCGTACTATTCAGAATTAATACGGCAAGCACAAGAAAACTATTTTTTGTAAGCTTGTTTCTTGTCCTGGACGACACCTAATATACACACTGTGATAAACGACTAGGTTAGAGACCACATGATTCAAATATATTCGTCCCTAATTTTGAACTGCGGACCAGAGAAAAGACAACCAGTCGTCAGCAAACTCTTAACTAGATTGACTGTTATTCTTATAACACGCCCACCGCTGCAAGTGCGAAGCGTGTTTGGTAGCACCATCAAACATAAGACTCTCGAATTCTAAGTTCGATACACTAACCCCCAAACTACTCTTGGGCCGGTGTTATAGGTGTAACTGACTAAATTTTAACTGTCGTTATCAAGGACATCATAAGCTTTAAAGTAGCAGGAAACTTTTTTCCGTTCATTGAATCAGAATTGGAAGCGTTTTTTCTTAATTGTGTACAAAAACTTTTGATATCACAATAATTTAGTTACAAATATCGATTACAGTTGAGTAAACACGTTTTAAAACCTAAACTTTCGCCCAAACAAGATTATAATAACGAATATTATTATTTCTATTTCTTTTTTTCAAGAAGTATTCTAACTGAAAGTAACTGGGTGTAGCAGGAAGAACAAAATATACAACTTCCGGCTGCTAACAACACTAATACTTCATAGTACAAATGAATAATAATTTTTAACTCACCATTTGGCAAGCAGGTTTCTAGGAGTTCTTGAAGTTGAAAGACATTCACTGACTTGTGCTTAACACACCATGTGGAGCAGAAAAAAAGAAACCAAAATTTTAGATTTATTTTTATGTAAATGGTAAATTACGTGTAATTTTCTTTAGAGTTCTGCTTTTGTGAACTTCCCTTCCTAAACAAAAATCCTTGTTTCTATTGTCAAGATTTGAAAGGTAAACCGAATAATTTATTATTAGTCTCGTATACTGAAACTATAAATATACAGTATATATACATATACACATAAGCGCGAAATACCTACCTTTTTATAACACACAAAACATTTATGGTAAAAAAATCTCTCAACTTTATTAAATCTAAGTTATATTTTTGTATTATTTTTCAAATAAATATCCAAACAAAAATTTTCGAGGGCAGGGAAACGTTTAAATAAAGTAATTGTAAGTTAGATTTGAACACAGGAGTTTTCCAAAGGTAATTCTTGGTGTGGAAACGTTTAAATAAATAAGTGTGAATTAAATCTGAAAACAAAAGGTTTCATAAGGTAATTCTTGGTGTCGAAACTTTTAAATAAATAAGTGTAAATTAAATCTGAAAACAAGGGGTTTCATAAAAATCTCTTAAAACAGATTTAGAGGCTTTTGTTCACCAATGAATAGAAATTTTACTTGCCATCAAAAGAAATCCCAGTTTTGAAAAGGTTAATCATACCTTTATAGGTACAAGTTGAGTTCAGTTTTCTTATTTTTACTCTTTACTGCTAAGTAATTACTCCAGCCTTTTCTCAAAGATTTTAGAAAGTCTTCAAAAGGTCATCAGAGGCAGTAGTTGGTTCACATCTACTACATACCTGATTCTACATTGTTTATCATGTCTTTCGTTTTTAATATACTACAATTTGTTATAAAATTACGTGGGACTCTATACCGCAAATAAAAAAGTTTTGTACGTAGAATCATATTATATACCAGAAATACAGGACTCATTTTCACAAAATACAATATACTACTATATCACAAGTTATGTTTATCATTAGTTTAATTTATACAAACACCTTATTTCATTATTCAACATTTTAGCAAATTCTTACATCATACTTAGTACGTTCTTGCATAGTTTTAGCAAATTCTTACGTCATCTCCAAAATGTTCTTGTCTTGTTTCTAGCACTTTTTTTACCTCGTGTCTATCGAGTAAACCTCATCTCTAGTAAATTATTACATCATCTCTAGCACCTTTTTATCTCGTTTTTTATCAAGTGAATCTCATCTCTTGCAGGTTTTTACCTCATCTCTAGTAGATTCTTACCTCGTCTGCAAGTTGATGAAATATTACCTCGTAAGAGCTGACCTTGCTGTCAAAAGAAGGCGGAGCCTGAAAGAAGGTGTTTTAGGTAATTCTGTCATTGATGAAAAATTATTTTCACCATATAAAAAACACTGTTTGACAACATAACAGAACGGGCACACAACATGGATTTATCATTCGAAATCAGCTATACGTTGAGTTTATAAACTCCCATTAAGATAGCATGTAATATTATATCAGTTTATCGTTGTAGTGTAGTTTAAAGAAGCAGTTTTAGACTGCTAAAATGACACCGTAAGTTCTTGATCTGTCTAAAAGATGTACTGACTTCTAAGGTCAAAGATCGTAAGAAGAATCTACACTATCTAAAATGTGTATCTAGATTTTTTCTTAACATTAGTAACAGAAGTATGTTATCCCCAAGAGTGACAAAAAAGCTGAAAAAAATTATTTCTAATATATATATATATAAAACACTTCATTTCACTTAGATACGAGTTGTTGAATTATTTCAAAAACGTCACCTTTTTCAAATGTTGTAATCTTTTGCATTTTGAAAATTCGGTAAAACAATGCAACTGGTTGAACTATCTGTATTGTCAATAATTGAGATTACTTAATAATTATCCAGTAAGGCTTCAGATTGCTTATTGTCAAAACTTCAGATTACTATATAATCATTCACTGTCAAAATTTCAGATTACTAAGAAATATACACTGTCAAACCTCCAGATTACTAAGTAATTATCCACTGTAAATACTTCAGATTACTAAGTAATTATCAACTGTAAATACTTCAGATTACTAAATAATAATCCACTGTAAATACTTCAGATTACTAAGTAATTATCCACTTTAAAGACTTTAAATTGCTATGTAATTATCCACTGTAAATACTTCAGGTAACTAAGTAATTATCCACTTTAAATACTTCAGATTACTAAGTAATGATCCACTGTAAATACTTCAGATTACTAAATAATTATCCACTGTAAATACTTCAGATTACTAAGTAATTATCCACTTTAAATACTTCAGATTACTAAGTAATGATCCACTGTAAATACTTCAGATTACTAAATAATTATCCACTGTAAATACTTCAGATTACTAAGTAATTATCCACTGTCAACACTCTAGGTTACTAACTAATTATCCAGAACATATAGTCATCTACATCTTGAAACTGACGATTGTTCCTTGGCTCACATCACTGACTCTATAAAAATGCTCCCACGTGTCCTCACCTTCATGATAGCTGGCTTCACAACACTTGGAACGTTGTCTATAAGCCTGAGGGTGAAACAAGTTGAACATTAGTGTATTTAATTTTTGTATAGCTCTCGAGTTGGCTCTCTCTCTGTATACATGATAGTCATTTTCCTAAGGTACTAACTGAACTCGAAGGTAAGTTCATAGAAACAATGCTGTTACCAATTTACAAAATACGTATGTCCTTCAGAATTGATTCTTACAGTGAAAGGAAGACTTCCGTTACTGATATAACAAAAGAAAGGTAACAGCAGAAGATTTGAGAGATAACCGTTTAAGTTCAATTCTATTTATAATAGAATACTTGCACACTATATATTGATTGCTTAATAAACATTCATGTTTAAAAATCAAAGTGGTTCCAAAGTGAATGTGTGCAGTATTAAGATATTTTATCTTTCGATAATTGTGAAAAGTAACACAAGATAATTACGAAGACAATTCCTAGCCAAATTTCGGATAAGAGAATTGATTAAACTTAATTACAGTCAATCGGCGAAATAAAAAATCCGAAGAGGAACAGCACACACTTTATGGACAATAGACACAAGTGGGCAGTACATAGCAGATAGATTACAGACAGAAGATGTTAAGTACATTGCAGATAGAAAATAGACAGAAGAGATGGTCAGTACATTGCAGACAAAAGATGTACACTCTACCGCAGATTGATAATAGACAGAAGATAAAGAGAACTCAGCAGATAGATAACAGACGGAAGGTGGACAGTACATAACAGAAAGATAATAAACATAGGATGAACAGTACAAAGCAGACAGAAAATAGACAATACATAGAAGTTGACATTAACCAGCAGGTAGACAAGAGACAGACGATGAATAGTACACAGACAACAGACAAAAGATGAGCAATAGACAGAAGATGGACAGTACACAGCAGATAGACAGTAGACAGAAGATGGAGAGTATCCAGCAGATAGACAATAGACGAATCATGAAACTATCCAACAGATATAAAATAAATAGGGAAAAACAGATAGATAATAGAATATGAAAAATACACAGCAGATAGGCAATAGATAAAAGATGAACAGGACTCAGTAAATAGATAATAGAGAAGTGATGAACAGTGTGCAGCAAACAGAAAGAAAAACAATATATAGACGATAGATAACAGACAAAAGATTAGTTATACCCAAAAGATAGGCAATATATAGAAATGGGCAGAACACGGCAGATAGACAATATATAGAAGATGAACAGTACTCAGAAGATAAACATTAGATGAAAAATGAATGGTACACGGCAGAATATCTTATATTAGGTTAAATAGAATTGGAAAGTAACAAGCAGATAGGCAATAGAGAGAAAATGGACAGTGCAGAGCAGATAGAGAAGAGATAGAAGGTGAACAAGTTACAGTAGATAAACAATAGATGGACAGTACACAGTAGGTTGACAGTAGATAGCAGATGGATAGTGGACAGCAGATTAACAAACGGCAGAAGATGAACAAAACACAGATGCCAGATAATAGATAGAAAATAGACAGTACATAGCAGATGAAAAGTTGAAAATAGTTTTATAATACACAGCAGATGAATACTACAAAACAGTTTATAATACACAGCAGATGAATACTACAAAACAGTTTATAGTACATAGCAGATGAATACAACAAAACAGTTTATAATACACAGCAGATGAATGGTTTAAAACAGTTTATAATACACAGCAGATGAATACTACAAACAGTTTATAATACACAGCAGATGAATACTACAAAACAGTTTATAATACACAGCAGATGAATGGTTTAAAACAGTTTATAGTACATAGCAGATGAATACAACAAAACAGTTTATAATACACAGCAGATGAATGGTTTAAAACAGTTTATAATACACAACAGTTGAATGGTTTAAAGCAATAGGAGAATACGCAACGGTTGATGATAGATATAGCTTCAAGTTTACAAAAACCGTTCGAAAGATACCTAATTTAAAGAGGATCCATTTGAATGAAAAATAAATTTAAATGTATAAACAATAGGAATAAGAAAAGAGATTAAGATAACTGCAGAATCATTATTCTTATCTAACATTACAGCGAGAAATTACAGAAATAATACTTTAAGATACATAGAAAATGATAATAGTTTATTCTGCTAACTTATACAACAGCAGGAACAAATTCAATTAATAAAGTGGAGTTTTAAAAATGCTGAAGAACGAAGGCTTAGAGTTAGTCGGGAGTCATTATTTCCAGATAACTGTATGCAAAAGTAAACCAAAACCATAAGTCCGATTTCTTGAATACGATGGAATGTGGTCAAGAGGGATACTGAGCTGCCATTGTTAGACAACTTTATATATTAAGTTCTGTTGTCAATAGAAAAAGTAAGTTTATAATTGTAAACTGAACTTACTTGAGTTTGATGGGTTTATTAGAGTAAACCCGAACAGTAAACCCTGATTCCTGTCCTGGTTCAAATGAGGTTGGAAGCAAAACGTATCCTCCTTGTTGAAACTCTTGTCTCGCTGAAACCTGTTTGTAGAAAATCTTACGTAGAGGGATTTTGCACTTTAATTTTAAAATTTCCAGATAAATATAGCAAAATTCTAGAATATTAAGAATACTGTAGGTTAGATAACTTTGTTCATTAAAATATTTTTCATTTTGTTGTTGTGACAAGTCCTGTGTTAAAATGGCTACATCAAAGCTAGCTTCTAAAATTCACACAATACCCAAATTGTTTTAGGCAGTATTTAAGTTTAGCATCATGACAGCTTGACAGTTACTGGAAATAAGTTTTGTTTAAGTCTAATTTCAGGACCAGCTATTTATACATCGAACAGAATGTTAATCGTCTCTAGATTTATTGCAAACGTTAGAGGCATATCCAAGGAATCCTAGGATAATGAACGGAGAAATAATGTTTTTGAGTACATAACTCTTGGAATAACTGCTTCTTGGAGATGTTGCATACACCATTGGAAATTTCAGAATCTGCTGTATCCAATCATGTAATTCATATGATGGTAACGTATTTCAGTTGGGAATTATGAGTAGTCAAAAAGACGCAGAGTTTAGGAATGACCACTCCGACCCTACCAGCAACGGTCACACATACGAAGTGATTATCTCTTTTTGGTTCTCCAATTAAAATATATGACCTTTCTTCATTGTCTGTATGAGGTTGGAGACCTTGTTCTGATCTGGTGGAAGAGCACCACTATTACCATTAATGTCCTTACCAGCACCAAACCTACAGCATCTTTGGGCTTGATAGATGGATTTGCCTCAACAAGGACTGTCAAAATGAGTCCATCGTGATCGCATCTACAGCGGTTGCACAGGTTACAAGACGAACATCTCGGAACTTTGCACATGCAGGTAATCGAGGGAATAATGGTGATTGATGATGACATGTCGAAGAGTAGCAAAGTTCCAGACACGGTCAGCGGGACTTGAAGCTATCTTCTGAAGATCTATTGGGCTCTGGTCTGTAAAACAGATGGAACGACTGGCGGAGAAGAATAAGGCTCACGTAGCCGACCCTCGGTTATAAAACAAGAAGGACTGTCATTAATGATGGGGTTTATATTGATTATGTGGCCTGTCATTACGAAGTTAATGTTTGTCCAATATGTTTTGCTAAAATTGGATAAATCTTGTGATATTTACGTTTGATCTCTGTCACCGAGATTGAGAGAAAGATTCTGTATGAATAAGTCATTTTAGTAAAAAAAAATTAATGTTCAGAGTCTGTTACATTCTATTTTATTTTATTATTTTCTGTCATCTTATCATTACGAGGTTACATAAAAATAGAAACGTTAGGTCTAACGGGCTGTAGCCCTCTCCTCCTTTATATATATACTTTGGATTTGCCTCTAAAAAAATGAACATTGTTTTCACATATTTCAGATATTAACAATTTACAAAAATACAAATAATTGAAACCATTATTATGAAGTTTTCTAGTTAGTATTTCCTTGATCACAACAAGTACATGGATGAGTGTTTTCCGTGTGAATTTTCAGAGATCGAAGCCTAGCTTACGTCAGTACATAATGTATCTATGCATTTGTTAATAAATATTTGGTCATATTGATAAAAAAATTCAAGTAGTATTTTAAATGCCTATAAAATTATCCTAACACATAACGGTGTTCAAAACAAACAACATGGATGATTGTAATTAATGTTGCATTCTGGAAAATGGTAACAGTGATGATACCAAAACTTACCTGTCTACTGTTGCTGTACTGAGAATTAAGCAAGGACTTGTTTCTCTTGAAGAAAGACTTGGGGAGCAATTCGGAGTTGGTCTTTGGCAACTATAATAAGTTTTGAAATCCATGAATTTTACTTCTTAAGAATTAAAAGTGGTAATAATTTTCTTGCATTAAAAGCCTTATTTGGGAACTTTCAAGTTGCTACTCAGTGACTCAGCACGAATAATAATGACTTATAGTGTTAAATTTCGGGCTTGAACCTTGCAATAGGCACAGCACAAATAACCCATTCTGCACATTTGTCTTAACCCCAAACAAATACTTTCAAATTTGAAGTTTAAATAATCAAACACTAAAGCTGGAGTTAACTTACCTAAATGCACTATTTAGTTGTAAGCTTCAAGCTTCATTTTAATATTTTAACATTCTGGTTTATAACAAATTGCAGCTACGTTTAAGGATAATTTATTTCCGTGGGAAAGTCGATTTTCTCACGTGGCAACATTTCGAGCTAAGCTTTTACTCTTTTACAGGAAAATAATATTTACTTTAGGCATGATAGATAATTTACACAAATTCAAGACACAAGTAAGAAAAAAAGGTTTGAATGGTTATCCATAGATTGTTTCACAACTTTTATTCACTGCTACTCATAGTGACATTGTAAAAAAAAATGAAATATCCAGCGTAGTCCTTTTGCACAATTAAAGATAACATGGCTTTATAAGACAAGGAAAAGTTTGAAAAAATGTTCACATTTTCAACATCTTAATAACATTAGTCTGAATTTAAAACAACTAAATGTTTGACATCGATTTCTCTAACATTATTCGGAAAGTATTTGGTATTAGTATTTTTGGAGCTAAGCGACACAGGGGCTAATTATTCAGGCTAGAGATCTCATGATTGAGGCATAGCAGATCCTAGTTTAAAACTAATGACTTGAGGGTAGCCAAACAGCTAGTAGCACACACATTGTCTACACGTATTCTTATCCAAATAGCAATATAGATTGCCACATTTACATCGTGAAATAGATAACATTGCAGAACGTGTTCAGTGGCATACTTACGGGCTCGAACCTTGAATCTATCGGTCTACAGTCTGGCACATTAACTACCAGACCACGTCCGACATCATTCTCTAAAGCTGTTTCCTTCATTATACTTGTTTGAATTAAAACTTAAAAACCTTTGATTTCGGGTCAAATACTATGTAAATAAGACTGAAAGGTATACAAAAAGCTTTTATTTCGTAAAGAAATATAATTAATATTTTTATTTGTTTATATATTTAAATATTAAAATATACTGAAACGCGAGAGGCGATAACTTTCTAATTAATTTTTAAAAATTGTTATGAAACAGAAACCCGTGTTTTGAAATATTGAAAGTGAAATTGAAAACAAATGAACTGAACTTAATTATTATTTAAATATTTAACTAAAGTACATTTATAGACCTTTAAATGACTCTTTACTGAAGTACAACAATAAAACCCTTTAATGAACTGAACTTGATTATTATGTAACTATTTAAGTAAAGTATATTTATAGACCTTTAAATGACTCTTTTACTGAAGTACAACAATAAAACCCTTTAATGAACTGAACTTAATTATTATGTAACTATTTAAGTAAAGTATATTTATAGACCTTTAAATGACTCTTTTACTGAAGTACAACAATAAAACCCTTTAATGAACTGAACTTAATTATTATTTAAATATTTAACTAAAGTACATGTATAGACCTTTAAATGACTCTTTACTGAAGTTAAATGATAAAACCTAATAACCCGAGCGCTTTCGAAAGCCCCCCCCCCTCTCCCCAGTGGCACAACGGTATGTTTGCGGACTTATACTGTTAGAAACCGGTTTTCGATACCTGCGGGGGCAGAGCACAGATAGCCCTTGGTGTAGCTTTGTGCTTAATAGCAAACAACAACAATAACAGCTTCGAAGGATAGAACTATCTTCTTTACGGGCAATGGTGGTGTAACTGAATGAGTGATATATATAAAGAGAGTTGAGTGACGCCATGAAGGTCACCTGGGCTTTCTTCACTACAAACTCCATCCTATTGAAAATCAACATACACCGAAGTTCAAAGAAAAATCTTTATGAACACCTCCACCAAACAGAGAACCACATCTAGAGAGTTATATTCAAGCAGTAAAAAATGACATAATACAAACCTTAAAATCTTCAATGCAATGACATAATGATATTAACCAAAATGAAAGAACTGCTCTAAACAATCGTAAATCGAACAACAATATCATAATAAAACTAGAGAACACTAATTTCTACAGGAAATTTTCACATGATCCTACAACTCAGTTTATTAAGACCACAACTGATAAAGTTAAAGAACTTCTCCAAAGCAATAAAATTAACAAAGAAACCTTTTAGTATTTGATACCCAGACTTACCTAAAATACACAAACTAAACGATCCATAATTTCTAACACAAACATGACTACTGAAAAGCCTGTGTTTCCTGTACCCTCCCTTCTTACATTAAGGATACTACTCACTTTCGTGACATCAAGGAAGATATCAATACCAACGGATACTTACCGCTTAACGGGCTTCTTTGCACAATGGATGTTTCTTCTTATTACACTAACATTCCACACGATGAAGGACTAGAAACTCTAAAGTCCACCTTAACCCTTTCTAACCCATCAGAATACCAAATATTAACTGATCTTACCAGCTATGTTTTAACTCCAAATAACTTCGAATTCAATAACTAGCAGTACCTTCAGGTTAGTTGTACGGCAATGGGTACCAAAATGGCTCCCAATTATGCCAATAGTTTTATGGGTCATATTGAAAGCCAACTTTTACAACTAAGCCCTGTAAAAACCTCATACATGGAAACTTTACATAGACCAAATTTTCATTTGGACAGCCGGATTTGAATCACTTAAAGAATTTATCTCATATGCAAACACCTTTCACAAAAAAATCAAGTTTATCTTTAATTACTCTCCTACCCATATTAACTTTCCTGACGTCACTGTCTTTTTGAAGGAATGAATTTTACATACCGACTTGTACAAAAAACCTACGGACAGCCCACAATACCTTCACTATAAAAGCTGTCACCCCACTCACACTAAACGGAACATTACCTGCAGTCCCGCTCTTAAAATAAAGAAAATCTATTCAGATGAAACAGACTACAGAAAACACACCAAGGTTCTAAAGCAAACCATGTTACAAAGAGGATATAAAAATACCGCAACTGACAGACGTATATAAAAAGCTAACAACACTCAACAGAAAAATCTCCTAAAAAAGAGTAACACCAAAGTTTCAGATATAATTTCTCTTGTTATTATCTAACACTTTAAACTCAGAAACGTTTCGCGCATTCTGAACAAAACATTCTTAATAACCTCAGCCTCGTAAGAATCTACATTTTCTTGGCAGGGTCATCAACTGTGCAGATATACAGCTGCCAGAGTTTGTGTGTGTGTATATAGCTTATGAAAAAAGTTGTAAGATTCTCTGCTGTATGGATTAACAACATTTTTAACGTCATGTGATGAATAGCCTTAAATTTTGTTGTGGCATTAACCCTACAAGCCCTACCGCTTCCACCGGCTTTACATCTACAACTAAATTATCGCCTTAAATAGATATTTCCCGAAGTTTCCGTTGTTTCATTCCGGAAAAGCAAAAGTCTAAATGACATCATTGTTCATGCAAAAGTGAATTACACCCCATAAAAGAATGGTTGTCATCCATGTAATAAAGCTCATTGTCAAAGCTGCAAGTTCAGAAAAACTACTGACTCATTTTCCGACAAGTATAACCAGAGAAACGTTAAAATTTCCAAACAAATCACTTATGGAACACAGAATACCATTAACTTTATACGGTGTAAAAATGCAATCACTATTATGTAGGATATACACAAACAACTATTAAATAACGTTCCAACAACCATGAGTATTATATTAACACCGAAAAAGATCTCCCTGTTGCTTAACACTTCAACCAATCCGGTCAGACTATTAACAATGTTACTCTCATCGGCACTAAAACCGACTAAAACTAAAGGCAATAGAGAGATAAAAGAAGCTTATTGGATTGTTAATCTAAATACTGTTGATCCTTGTGGAATAAATCTAGATCATGGATTCACCGATCATTAGTTTGTTCTCTGTCAGATTTTTTTTTTCATGTACTGTGAACTCTCAATGTTTACCCCTAATCTAATTAATACTTACTATCCATTCAGGATAATTTTCCATGTCTGTCTTTAGAAGTTGATCTGCATAACATTTCTTTTTCAGTCATTCTGAATGAACCACCTTTATTTTACTTTAACAACACTTAAGTATAGTTTTCTTGACTATTTCTAAAGCAAGACATCTCTAACACCTTTTTACATAACACTCTCGTTTCTGGCTGTGTTGCAACCCTAAATGAAATACAATTCCAACAGTATATTGAAAAATATCGAAAAACACTTCCTGGAAGCCCAGGTGATCTTCATGACATCACTCAACTCACTTTATATATATATATATATATATCGGATTCAATTATACCACCATTCCCAGTTTGCCCCTGAAGAAGATAAGTCCACCTTTCGGTTTTTATCGTTTTATATTAATACTTTTGAACCTACGGGTTTTTCTGACATCATGAATTTTTACTGAAGTAGCCAAGAATGTAATTTTCTTTCAACTTTGTGATTAGATTTTACCTGTTTTGAAAATAACGCAATCAAATACATACATACATATATATATATATATATACTTACGCCATAAATGGTAAAGCCGATTATCTTCGAATTCAGAGCAGAATGCTGTGTTAACGAAATTATCACTTCCTGGTTGTCAGATAATATTAATCGGAGCTGTGGATTTGTGTGGAACGTATCTATATATAGATATGTATATATACATATATAAACTTGATTAAACACCTGTTAACAGAACATCACACTATACTGTTGCAGCTAATAATATTATGTTTCGCTCTTTTCATTTTTTCCCCTTTGGAATCAAACTTAACTGGTTAAAGATAACACTTCTAGTAGAAAGTCCACTTTAGTTTTTTTAAAGCTATTTTCGTAAAAACATAAACAGTAGCTGTAACTATATAACCTGACAGAGTTACAGCAAACTTAATTAGATCCATTCTCACAGAATCAACAGCTATAATTATATATGATATCCTGTAACCTGAAAGGCCCTACAATAAGCCTAGTTAGAGTAATTCGCAAAAAAACTTTAACAGTTGCTACGGTGGCACTTTAGACCTTACATCTGAAAAACAATATGTATAAAAATAGCATATTTTATTTTGAAAATTATGGCAATAAACGTGTAATGCTGTCTATGTAGTCACTATAGTATATTGTTTTCTATCGCTATTTCTAAAATAGTAAAATGTAAGGCGGGCACTTACAAATTTTTGATACTGACAGTGAGTAACTTATATCAAAACGATTTTGAAGCCTCACCACGTCGTTACAGTCCATGTCGCCACATCTAATCAAGCTATATTTTACAACTGTGCATTCTGAAAATAGTTCTGCTACGTAGTTCCATTACAAAATTCCTGCTTCTTTCCATAATCCACCTAGTGTAGTAGGGCGACTGTTTACCAACGTCCGTCTAAACAGCCATATCACACAGGATTCCACAGGCGACTTGACCACTGTGTCTTCGTATAGAATAGCATGAATACCCGTTTCATTTTCCAGGTGTGAAACGGTTGAAAGGATATATTTTAAAGGCAACTTGTGTCACTTTTCCAGATGGAGATCCTTCTTGATTATGTTGTGTACTATTACCTGGGACACGTAGATGTCATTTCCCACTAACCTTTGTGTTCGTAGATTCTCGTCTGTTACAGAACACCGCACTTTTCTAACAAGGGTTGGGGTATAACTTGTTGCAGGTCTCTTTCTGGGTGGTCCTGTTTCCCTAAGTCGATACATGTTTCTTTGTTTTCCAATGCCATTAAGTAAAAAGAGATATTCATGTCTTGGAACTTCTAAGTCTTCGATTTGAACACATCTTTTTGATCCCTGAGTATGAATACTTTGCGTCCAAAAGATTTTTACATATCCTTCTCAAAGTAATTAATTTTCGATGTCATCATACTACCTGTGTAACGCCAGGCAATGGCAGAATGTAGTTCTGATACATTCCGTCCAACCGCGACTTGATAGTGGCTGTAATTGTAATGTGACTTGCTGATTTACATATTCAAAATCGTTTAAATATAACGTACTCATATCTCTGTATATACAGAAGTAATTAATTAGGCATACGCATTCTACCAAAGATGTTTAAAGAACAGCAATTTTGACTGGCCAATTCAGAGTAATGTAATAAATGTTTATTCTACTCAAACGTTTTAAGATTAATACTAGCCAAAATTCATCTGTTTGCCTTAGAAAAGTAGTATTAAGAAAATTAAAAATAAATCCTGATTATATTTTAGTGTTAATATAAATCAGTATTTCAGAACAAAAAGAAAGGTTTTTCTAAGACCACTAGTAGCAGCCATGACCACTAATAGTGGTCAGGACTTAATGGATTTTTCAAGAGCATCTAGTATCTAACTAGTAGTCAGGAATAATAATAGATGTCTTAAGAACTACTAGCTAGTAGTCAGGAATAATAATAGATGTCTTAAGAACTACTAGCTAGTAGTCAGGAATAATAATAGATGTCTTAAGAACTACTAGCTAGTAGTCAGGAATAATAATAGATGTCTTAAGAACTACTAGCTAGTAGTCAGGAATAATAATAAATGTCTTAGGAACTACTAGCTAGTAGTTAGGACTAATAATGGATATCTTAAGAACTACTAGCTAGTAGTCAGGAATAATAATAGATGTCTTAAGAACTACTAGCTAGTAGTTAGGACTAATAATAGATATCTTAAGAACTACTAGCTAGTAGTTAGGACTAATAATAGATATCTTAAGAACTACTAGCTGGTAGTTAGGACTAAAATAGATATCTTAAGAACTACTAGCTAGTAGTTATGACTAATAATAGATATCTTTAGAACTACTAACTTTTAACTAACAGTCAGGACTAATAATGGATTTTTAAAGAGCGATTAACTTGTAACGAAGACCAATAACGATTTCAAGAAACTCTGATTGATTTTAAAAGATCATTTATAATGGTCAAAAACAATATTTATCAGATTTAGAGTCACTCATAATAAAATAAAACCGCTGATTTTCAAGAACCATGAATATTCGCCAAAAATTTGAATTGAATTTCAAAACTGATAGAGGCAAAGAATAGAAACTTATTTTCAAGAACCTCTGTTAACAATGGGAATATTCTGTGTTGTGAAATTAAATAAATGAAACTTCTATGGTGTTTATTTATTTATTTGATAAGCAAAATTTTAAGACAGTTTGAGAACCACTTCTTCATTGTATTGTAAGTTAGTTTGTTCTTAAGAGAGAAAAAGAGGTTAAATTTTTAACAACGTCTATAGTGATCCGATAATGTTTACCATAAGCAAATATTAGTATTTCATTTCTAGCCTTGCCTGATCTTTAATGAATTCTAAGTATTTAAGTACCTCGTAATATTAAAAAGGGGCTTAACTAGTCTCAGAGTCTACGAATACAGTTTTAGTTCCATGTTGAGAGTACACCTTTACCTGTGTGATTTCTACAACCTCCTGCTGATACTCCACGTTGCCACCTTCCGTACCAGAGTTTCATGAGCCAGGGTGTTTTGCCCCGTAATGTGGGCTCGTCCTTACTGGTCTCTCCGTCCAAGTGGACTACTTCCAGTGTGGTGAATGTCTTAACAAAGTCTTGATATGCCATCCTACGTTTAGTTTTAAATAGGGTGTCATGTATCACGAAACTAACTTTTCATTCAAGCACAAATGATAAAATAATCAGCAATTAAATTTTTTTTTGTTTTAATTTAACTTTATCCCGCAAAAACTAATAACGTTATAATCCAGTTTTATAGAAAAGAAGTTTACACGGAAACAAGTATAGACACTTTTACATGTCTTCTTCAATCCAACACGTGAAAGATCAAAAACCTGTGTTCTGTAACAGAGGATCTTAATTTTATTCTAGATTAATTTACACTGTATTGTGAATTTATATACTACTAGTAACATGTATATTTTTGCTCAAAACAATAACAACAAAAACGATTATTTGAGATATATAATTTAGAATCCGCTAAACCTCTAAAAATTTATTCAAACCACCAAAAAACAAACAAATTATGCTATATATTTAACAATCCAGTCTTTTAAAAACAATAATAATTAAGGCTTGTTGCATTATTTACACTAATTGGCTCTAACGAGTCACACATTAACGCTTGTTAAGGAACAGAGTCCATGATGTTGATTCCAGCTTAAACTAAAACTGATATTCCAATTTTATTGTACTTAATTGTTATGTCAAACGTGAAAATATATCTTGAACTGTAAGTTACCCACGCATGGATGGTTCGTGAGCAGAAATATTTATCCCATGTTCATACTGATGTTGATAGGATATTTTATTTTCTAATTGAGAATGGATTAGAAAAGGCTGTGAATGATCTTTATGGTCAATAAATTCGGATAGACATGTGTTTTAATCATAGTTAGAAGGCCCTCTGATCAAGTTTTGTGTTATTCGGGTAGACACGTGTTTTAATCATAGTTAGAAGGCCCTCTGATCAAATTTTGTGTTATTCGGGTAGATATGTGAAACTTGATCAGAGGGCCTTCTAACTATGATTAAAACACATGTCTACCCGAATAACACAAAACTTGATCAGAGGGCCTTCTAAGTACGATTAAAACAGAAGTTTACCCTAATAACACAAAACTTGATCAGAGGTCCTTCTAAGTACGATTAAAACAGAAGTTTATCCGAATAACACAAAACTTGATCAGAGGGCCTTCTAAGTACGATTAAAACACATATCTACCCGAATAACACCAAACTTGATCAGAGGGCCTTCTAAGTACGATTTAAACACATGTCTACCCGAATAACACCAAACTTGATCAGAGGGCCTTCTATGTACGATTAAAACAGAAGTTTACCCGAATAACACCAAACTTGATCAGAGGGCCTTCTAACTATGATTAAAATGTGTTATTCGGGTAGACATGTGTTTTAATCATAGTTAGAAGGCCTCTGATCAAGTTTGGTGTTATTCGGGTAAACTTCTGTTTTAATCGTACTTAGAAGGCCCTCTGATCAAGTTTGGTGTTATTCGGGTAGACATGTGTTTTAATCGTACTTAGAAGGCCCTCTGATCAAGTTTTGTGTTATTCGGGTAGACATGTGTTTTAATCGTATAAGAAGGCCCTCTGATCAAGTTTTGTGTTATTCGGGTAAACTTCTGTTTTAATCGTACTTAGAAGGCCCTCTAATCAAGTTTGGTGTTATTCAGGTAGGCATGTGTTTTAATAATACTTAGAAGGCCCTCTGATCAAGTTTGGTGTTATTTGATAACTCTATGATAGAACTGTTAATTTTTGATATTATCACTTAGGTAACTGTCTTCAGTATAGAGTTATCAGTTAAATTGAATTTTGATATGGCTTTCACTTACATTTTTACTTTTTACCTTATTTCACTAACTTCTGAGCGTCACATTTATTTTAGCTAATATTTTACAGCTTTTACCGTGCAAGTTCTTTAGATTAATGTTATAACAGTATTATGAGATACAGTTTGGAGTATATGCGTAATGAGATCAAGGCTTTTAAACTTTGCGGAGGTTCTTTGGAGGCAGCATGCTAGTAAGTTATAAGTGTAATGACGTGTTTTTATCACTATTCAGTTTCTTGGCATATATTTAGAATATTGATTATATATTTCGTGTAAAATTTAATATTCAGGTTTCTTTGTATGGTGTGTTTTTAGGTTTAGTTTGTCACTATTTTGAAAATGCTGTTTGTTTGCAGGTTTTTTTTTTTTTACATTTCGAATAATTTTATGCAGCTAACACTAACTAAAATACATATTAAAAATTGATGATAAGCACCGTCCAAAAACATTATCCAAGCATCAAATAATACTATAACATAGCATAGCCATCAGTAGATGCTTATAGTATTTATAGACTGCAGACCCAATTACAGTAGGTCTGTTTGTTTTTTCTTGATTTTCCCGTGTTCGTAGTTACTAATGGGGTGGTGGAATTCTCTGAAGACGATCTAACTCAGTAACAGGTGACAATTCCAAGAGTATGCTAGAGCTCACATTTTTTCGGCAAAAGCTATAACTGGAATTATACATAAAAATGGGAAAAATCACCCTGTTTTTTAGAGAAAAAAAATCCTTAAAAGTATTTCTCCCCCCTGTCAAACAACTGGTATGAATTTTATAGTAAAAATCTTAAGATCACGTAAACGAATTATCTGACTTTTTTTTTTGAAGGATTAACCTAATCCTCTTAGCACTTGGATATCTAATGTCAGGTTAAAATATTGTGAGCAAAGTAACTTGGTTAACCACAAAAATCTTTTTTGTTCGAACATTTTTTTATAACGTCTCCAACTGATAATCATGAACATTTCAACTCACCAGAATTCTCCTTCCGCAAGATTTTTGTATTTTATCCTTGTCCTTTCATGTGGCGCTAGGAGGTCCCACTGTGAGCAACTAACAAAATAATTAATTTTTATCAAATTCACGCAAAAAAATTTGCATTAAGGCTATTTGCTGGCGTCCCTAATTTTAAACTACTTATCAGAGACAAGAAAACCAGTCAGCAACAAAAAAGTTAGGCCGTTTACCAGGTCTGAGCGTAGAGTTAGATACACAATGGAAATGTATGACTCCTTTGATAACACAATAATTTCTATTACGTATTTACATACAGGAGTCACAAATAATCAGTAATTGTAAATAATTCGTCAATTTTTCATTAGTAGAATAAATATTACAGTAAATATAAAATCGAATAAATCGTACAGTGTATTCGTATTTTATATTTGTTTAAACAGAGCAGTTATACCTTATTTTAATGCTACCATAAGTTGATCAATGTATATTTGTGAAATATTGTTCGACATGTTCTCTTTTACTCCTCATAACTCAGCCACATTGTTGGTTGTCGCTTGAATTTTTCAGTTTATATACACACCATATACAATCTTAATGATATTCATGTCGAAATGTCATACAGGCGAAGCCATGGCTGTGAAGGTTCCATCAGTCTCTTTTTCTTCCAGGTATCGTTTAACAACAACTGGTCAATGCTTGATTTGTTTCTTACTGGTAGATGAACTTCTGCCAAACATGTATTGTTTTTGAAGGTAATGACATGGTAGATAAGATTTAGCTTGTACTTCTCATCAGTTAAGGTGCCATCAACTTTGTGTACATTTCCAGCATCACTGGCTGAGATGCAGCCCACACTTGTATTGGTCCCTCACCATATTCCACTCTAGAGGTTGTACGTTGACCATGATACTGTTCTCCTCTCTGCCATCGAACAAACTATTGTTCATTGTTGTCAAACAATTGGAAGTTGGTTCGTCGGTAAAGAGCACCCGCCTCCATTTTTTTTTCATCCCAGTTTTTTGAAGCCTAATATCCATTTCTGTCTTTTGGTTTAGTTATCTTTGCTAACGACTGGATTTTGCGCAGCTAGAGACTTACTGAGATGCTTCTAGATAACGTTTATCTTTATGTTCTGGAGGTAACATTTAATTACAGCCAACAGAGGATGAAGTGGTCTCGTCGTGACGGTAAACCAGCGCTAAATATGTTTATTTGTATCAATTCCTCAAATATTCTTGATCACATCAGGATTTCAAATAAACAAGAATGAAATCACAATGAAGTCGTACTTTTGTTTTATAAAACGTAATATTTCCTTTGAGTACTATATATATATATAAATCAATAATACGATCAACATTATTTTTAATTAATTAGAAAAGATTATTTGTTACATATCATTAAATTTTATTTTCTACACGAAACTGCATGGATCATTATAAAGAGAAAGATTTTGATATTCAGCTTGAACTGTAATCAGCAATTAAATTAGAAAGACTTTGACCTTCCTTCATAATATATAGATAATTGTAAGAGTAATATAAAACAGAATCAAACCATCTTTAAATCAGGACGTTGTCCATTCTTATGTATATAAAAAAGGGAAATATAAAATACAATTGTTTCAATTTCTATTACCAGGATCTTAATAAGAAGTAAAAAATAAGATGAAGGATCTTTGTTAAAGATAAATCTTTTGGTTAGTAAACTATAGAGCAATATAAATGCATAGAATATTACAAACCCCGTAGAGCTAACATACAAAATCAAGTTACGCATAATGAATCATATACTAGAAAGAAAATAGTTTCAGATGTCTTTCATAAATGAAAGTTATTAATTATTTATACAATATACCAATTATCGAAGTATTAACTGGGCTTTTTCTAAATCTGGTACAAACTAACCTGACAAAGTTCCGAGTCGTTATTAAAAATACTCATATATTTAATTAGCTTGTAACGTTATTTATATTGTAGCATATAACCTAATACAAGTTGTTTTTTGGATGGTTTTTACACGTTTTTATTTCCTAAAGTTTTTTATGTGTTATTGATAGGCTACGTTGAATTTCCCTCACCAAATTAATAATTTTCCAAAAGTATAATTTGTGTCTTATCAAATGAAATATGGAATACGAAAATAATGTACCAAAAAAGTAGCATTTGTTTTGGTTCCGAACTAACACATATGTAACTTCCACGATTTAATTCTACCATAATGTTTTAAATGTCATGAATAGTTATATGTACGTCTGAAGTTGATTGTGTTTAAAACTTTCTTTAGTAATGTTAGAAAAAATAAAATTGACTATTAAATTCTATGTCTTTTTTGGTATGAAGTATTTACTTCACTTGCAGATCCCACCGTTTCGTTCTTAAGAAATATTGTAGTCCTGCCTACGTAAGTCGTCTGGTAATGCTAGATATTGCAGATTTTTAATACTTACTCTCGAGACCAGTTTCCGACGTATTCCGATGTGGCACCAAGGGGGTTTCTCAGTCGAATTAACTGAATGTGTTCTCCGTTAACTGTCTCCACTTGCTACATCATTAAGTCAAAAAGATATAGTCATTGTCAAGCGTTAAGGATATTTTGAAGTATCTTATGATATTCTTGAGGACGAGAATTATAACGTTATCGCTTCTCAAAATTAAGCAATAAGCAAAATTCTATAGAAGTAAGGACACGACAAAAACTACTGTAAAATTTGTGACATTTCCTAAATCTTATGTCATTTTTTATTCAGTAAAGGCGATTATTTATTTTTATGTTAAATAATAAAACAAATATATATAAAATATTACATAAAAGTATTAATTTTACAATCTAATAATTAAACTTAAAAAGCTTTGCTCATGAAGATTAGCTGGTCAGATGAGTTTATTGAAGTTAGCGAAAAAGCGCCACATGGAGAGACGTTAGACAAAAAGAAAACCAAAATGTATTTTACGCATGCTCTTGGCTGAAAATTTTTTTATAGGCAACATAACACAACTTACACAATGCAGTTTAACAGGTTTCATGCTTCCTTACCATTTGTCTTTTACGTTGACAAAATAGTTTATGATAAGAAAAACTTTATATATATGCTAAGCATTACTCTAATACCAAACTTGTTTCTGTTTGTTGTTGTTTTTTGTCACTAGGAGCGAGAAGAATATAATGAAAGGTGCAGGCTCTAAATAGAAGCTTAAACTGGCTGTCTGGCTGCTTGAATTCCAAGCTGTACTCTTTGCTGACTTATAGAGGACGAGGGTTTTATTTTTCAAGAAATTGCACCAACACAATGTTTGTGTTCAGGACTTGCATTCACAAATAAAGTAAAATTTATAGTTCGTGTAAGACAATGTCGTTATGGTCATCTCTTGATAATACCAAAGACATGCGAAACGGTCTGTATGTCAGACATGTTAAATGGGGTTTGGGGGAGAGGCAAAGGACAGCAGTAAAGCCAATTAAATTAAAATTATTGCAAGCTTTGCCTGAACTAATTGTAGGGATATTTAAAGACAGTAACTATTTTTTCCACTTCCAAGTATTTGCGTTTCTAAGATACCTATCAATAATAAACCACGAGCTAATGATGACAGCAGCAAGAAGATAATAAAGAAGGCGATAACATTCATGACGATGGCAGTGACAAAGATAAATATAAATGATGACACTGAATGATTACTTGGTACATTGTACTTTTTACCTAGGTCTTTTACCGTACAAAGTTTCAAAAAATTATCCCATTACGTATAGAAAATACAAATCAATCCATTGTTGTCTTCTTAAAAAAAGATCCTTTTGTTCATATCATTAACAGTAAGTTAGTCAGGAAATCAGACTCTTCTAAGACAAAGAGAAAATTAGAGAAATAATGACACGAACGAATGAACAAACCTTTTCAAAGCACATCACTCGGTAATTTGTGGTCAGCAGAATGCCATTTGCTAGTTTCTCTGGTTGATTAAGGCTCTGTAAAATAGATATACATCGAACTATTCCTCTTCTTTTGTTGTGCAAATACTCAAAATTAAGTGATCGATATTAGAAAAATAAACTTTTCGGTTACATCAGTTAAAATGATGTGCTAGAAATTATTACTCTCGAGAAGATTTTATAAACACAGACAGAATATAATTATTAGGCGTTATTTGCGTGATGGTCTTAAAATCACATGGCTGTCTGAGATATCGTAAACTTATAAATTAGCTATACATATTTTTAACTTTCAATCTTGTAGTAGCTCAATTTAAAGTTGTTGTTTTTTAACAGACAAATGAACAGATGAATAAGACAACGCAAGTACATTCTACAGGTATTTTTCCTTTTTATATGGATATTTTAACTGTTATCTTATCCACGCATAGATATAAAATGTTAATACCCAGAATGACAAAGTGTTCCTAAAACCCAACTTATCTCATGTTACAGGATATTTTACGAGACAATACATCTCTAAAGGCAGTAAATTACCTTAATTCCAAATCAGTAATCTATCCAGGTCTTGTATGTAGCAGAAATTCTTTGACATTTTTTGAGATTGATATATATTACTATCGTGGAAAAACAGTTTGTTTGTTTGTTGTTAAACACAAAGCTACACAACGGGTTATTTATTCTGTGCCCACCACGACGATCGAAACCCAGTTCTTAAAGTAATTATCCATCAGACTTACCGTTGTTTATTACTATGTCAGTAATTAACAATTTCATAATGGGAAAATCAAGTTCATAAACTCTACTTAATCCCAATGATAGTTTAAAATAAAATCCAAGAATGAAAATACGAAGAAAGAATGTTGACTGTGTTCAGAATATTATATTTGGATAAAACGGTTGTGTTGCTACTTTATTTCATGATTGCACTATGTTTAAGAAGTGTAATGGCTTGTTCAAGAAAAATAATTCTAAAACTCGTGTGATCAATTTTGTTTTTTTACATCTTGGTTGAAATTCACGTCTTTTAAGGTAGCACTGGCCCTTAAAACTGGGCTAACTTACATGCTAATGAAACACTATTGAACACTCCTTATAACCTTCAAATTGAACACAAAACAAATGTATGATGTCACAATCTCTGGAAGTATACTTTCAGTTATATACTTCATGTGTATAATTAATGTGGCATGGATAAAGAAATACATAACATATACTGTTTTAACGTCATAACATTACTAGAAATGATAAAAACATTTGAAAATTGATACACATGCTTTTTGTGAACATCCTCATAGCTTGAATCAAAAACTTTGCCAATTTTCTGCAACGTTAACGAGTTATGGGCAATTAACTTTAATTAATGCCTTCGTTAGTGGTAATTATACTCATAATAAGACAATTGGTAAAAATTTTTGAATTAAAAAAATATTCAAGCTATGGAAGAGTGTAATACCAACAAGTGGGCTAAATTTCATGCTGATATTAACATTAATGGTGTAGTTAACATGCTAATAAATTGGTGACCCAAGTGAAAACTGTGTTTGAGAAAATAACCGTTAAAGTTTTTCTGCACTCAAATGTCAGTAAGCTTTTAGTAAATGTGTGTATTTACCACATTTAACAGTGTTTCCTCAGTATGTACGTTTGCCCAGTTTTAAGGGTCAATGCTACCTTAAGCTATCATAAAGTCCGATATTTGACCTTTGACTGAAATGTTTGTATATATCACGTTGACAATTTTCACATTTTTTGCTTAACTCTCATGAACAATGTAAATCAATTTCAGTTTGCTTCAAAATTAAACGAATTCCTTGTTATTGCATTTAACGTCACCAAAGCAAATGTAAACGACTTTTATTAAGTGTCGGGCCAAATGGTTTCGCTGTTGCACACGTACAACTAAGTAGACGTACGTACGTACGATGTCTGAAACAATTGTCATACACATGTGACGTTAGACATCTAAGCTGAAGTTCGGTGAGGCTTTTTAAGTTTGATAAAGTTAATTAAGATCACGCTTGACTGCAGATGGTTTTTCTCTGATTATTTTTAATTAGTCCATTACAAATTGTGAATCAAAAATGCGTGTGTTTGTATGACAATGGCCTTTTAGACCTAACTTTTGTCTGTCACAAGTGACCTCCTAAGAATCCGGGTTGTACAACGTCAAAACCGTTCACTCTTGTACAGTCAAAAATACTACTGAAATGCTTTTCATCTACACCGGACCTATGGCAGATAAAAGTAAATCTCATGAGATCCGTTACTGAAAATATTCCTGGACAATTTCTTCTAGCAGACAAAAGTAATCTCACGAGATCTGTTTATGGCAGACTAAAGATAGATCTGAAATTTTACTTTTAAAGATTTCTTATTCAAAATTTTTAACATACCAGTAAAGAACAATGTGAAAAAGGGGGGAAAAAAACACTGCGGGCGTGAGATTCCTAATGCACTTGAAGCCTAAGAAATGTGACGAACCATCACTTTGTACAATGAATACTTTTTCTGGCTTTAATATCAGCCCGTTAAGAAATAAAGGATATAATATACAGCCTAACATTATATTTCGTGACATTTATTAAGCTTAAAAAGAGCTTTCAGGTTAGACGCTTAACGACCTAATTTTCCATGTTTCTTCAAACAATTCTACATATTATCATGTAAAATAACTTACCAACGTCATGATGATGACCATGTTGATTTATATAGATTATCAATACATCTATTTTCAAAATGCAGAACTCAAATTTCAAAGGTGGCTTTTCCAATACGTCGAAATGGATTTAGTAAAATACCCAGAAAAATCTAATATACTTACTAAAATTACTTCGAACTTTAATTCCTACCAAGGAAGCGTATAACAAGAAAAAATAAAACTTAATAGCCATGTAAAGTGATTTCTCCAAACAATATAAACTCGTTTTTGTAATAAAATATTACCTACAACTAAGTATAGGTAAAACCTGGGTGATTGAGTACCTGAGTATCTTGCTGTACAACGGCAGTTAATAAGGATGTCATACTTAAAAGGCTCAAAAGGATTCGTCCACAAGCAGTTGATTCGTGTCTGATGTCAATGGTTTCTGTAATCCCGCCTGTTAGATCAGCAAGACCATCTGCAGCGCAACCGTACTTCAAGACCTCGTAGGCTGTGTGTAACCTGAGTGGACACACATATACATATATATATATATATATACCATTACTATGTAGATATTTATTAACTTCAGGAGGTTTTCTTCCTTTACGCAATAAACCAAACGGGATGCAATAAGTAAACTCTGTATTTTGATACACAATATTACGTTGTAACATCCTGAACCACAACCATTAAAAAAACCCTTTAATCTGATAATTGAAAACAGCTCATTCCTCATTGCAGTAAATAAAGTAAATAAATGATAGTCTTGAAGTTTCACTGATTTAGTGCATTCTTTTGGCTGATAAGTAATTTAAGTGTAACCAGATATTAATTAAACTAGCAATGTTTACTTTTCTCCAACATCTCATCTAGAGTGAAACTAGAATTAGACGTTTACATTTAGGTTGATATTTTTACCTCTTCCAATTTTCTTACAAATTCTAGAATGTGTATGTAATTAGCCAGTCTTTAGCTGCTGAGCGATTTATGTGTAAATAATTAAATCGTTGCACCTGCATTAAAGACAAACTGTCCCATCATTATAAAATAAATCTATATCCGTAAGATAACACAAACAAACTCGTTTTGAATAGAACAATATTAACTTTAAAACTTAACACTGCTTTTCCCACAATGGAACTGTTTTCCAGTTTTCTCGACTTTTGAATATATATATTTTCTTTATACCTCAAGTGTTATCTTACGAATCTTAATTAACTTTATTATATGATAACAAATGTTGAGTTCTCTATAATTAGGATTTTTTTCGCTTTAATATGAAATATTCGTATCAGGTCGAATATAATCTTTCATAGGTTGTTTAGGCAGAGTATTCATAATGAATCTAGGTTTCAAATGGACAGCAACTCCCTGTTGTAGAAAACTACAAATGTAGAGGACGACGTTTCGAAAGTCTTCCGCCTTTCGTCTTCATGTCCACCTGAAGTGTGCGAAAAGTTAATTTTACAGAATAATCACTGTTCGTATATTGGAAATATCAGTTGTTTGTAGATTAAAGAAATATATATATAAATTGCTTGTAGTTTATTCGCTTTCCTATCGCACACATTTTATTTTGTTGTTGTTGATAGATATGGCAATGGAAAATGCTTGTTTGCTATAAAGCAGGCTGGCATAGAAACAATGTATGTATATGGTTTTTATACAGGCACTTAATAGTATCTAAACTTTCATAATGTTTTAAGATCAGTGTACGATTATACAAGTTAAGCTTAAAGAATTCCAACTATATGTATTTAGCCGCATCATGTAGCAAAAATCAGATCAATTTGCTTGTAAAATGACTAGTTATTGAAAGTAAGTTCACCATCTAAAAATAAAATACCTGTACTCATTTAAATAATACATATTTGGCCTCATCTTGGTTCTTGATGGCCAGTTTATTATCATTATTTACTGTCATTGATAATAAATTAAAATATTTACTTTGCATAGGCTTTTTCTAACAGAGCTGGCCAGAATTGGTTGCTATGTTGAGAGTGTACAAAGACAAGTTTGTTATTCACTGTAGGCAGACGGTCATCCACTATCACCTCCTGCCACTCTCCGTTCCACCATAACCGAAACCGAAATATCCCGGCGTAGTCTTCTGGAAGAAATGTCTGGTCTGCTGGAACCACCCTATAGAAAAGGCCCCTTGAGATAGCCAAACAACCGATACAAGACACAAACCATCTGTCACCTGTAGAGAAACGACGTCGTTTTTCTTTTAGCATGATCTTGCAGATATTGATAAATACAAAAAAAAAAAAATAATAAACAACCATGCGTTGCCGAGGTTGGGTAGGGTGTAACTGTACATTTACATCAGAGCCCAGCACAAACAGGGCTCAGGCAAAATGCCTACAAAAATTCCACTTTTTTTTTGAGACAAAAAAAAGAAAGAAAAATATAATTATATCATCTATTCAAACAGTCGATCTCCAGGATATAATTTAACCCGAGAGTGAGTGTGAATGTACCCTCACATTACAGTCTGGAGAATGCATAACTTTAGTTTTAAATAGCATAACTTAATAAGTATTTTGACTTTCTTTGTTTTCTCTACTCGACTACTGACCTTGATTTGATATATATATAATGAAATGAGTACAGTTAGAGAATTGCTCAAAGGACTTTGTGTTTTCGATCCCCATTAATGAAATGAATAATTATAAATATCTTAACATTTCTAATTCATTGACAATTTGCCAACTTTAAATATTTTGATGGAACCTGTTTAAGAAACGTTAAGACTGTCTTTATTTTTAATTCAATTACAACTGGCACCATATTTTATTCTGCTGAAATAACTAAAAACATAAGTAATCTAAAAACGCCAGTAATAACTTCAGTTGCATTATATTAGTATAAACGTGAATTGGTTGTATTTTTTCTACCGTTTAAAGCATTACAATGACGTTTTTAGATCAACGCTACAAATAGCAATAAAAATATAAAGATTTCAAACATGCCCGGTTCGAGAATTTGTATTTCCTTTTCATTAAATTATGTTTTTCTTTTGGACAAAATATCCGATTCGAAATTCATATTAAAATTGTATTTTTTGTGCTAAATTTCTTGTAAATATTCACCATTTTGACAACATCCGTTTCAAAATTTGGACTTTACAATCTCTATATTTGGAAATATATATCTGTTATTAAGATTAAATCGCTATGAATTTTCTTAAGAAGCTACCGATTTTGTCGCATTAAAAATCTTGCTTTGCGGGGTTTTTGTTCTTCTGGAAAACATCATATCAAAATTGATGGATAACTGTAATTTCGCCAGTGAATTCTACGACTCTCATATGTTATGATTTAATTTTATCGTTTCATATTCTGTATATTTCTGATACGATATTGTTTTTCTTCATTGGATTCTCTTCCCTTAAAAAGAACAATCTTTATTATAGCTTAACTCGCTATAGGTAAATTCTAAACTTTTATCAGACGAGTATCTGAAAATTGTAAAGTAGCTCCTATTTCGTTGAGCTCACTATTCGAGAGTTCCAGGGTTAGCAAAACATTCGACAAAAGACACAAACCATCTGTTTCATCTGAAAAAATATTTTTTGTTGTCTTTCACCGGCACGTTGTTAGACTTAAGTTGCCATTAACTCATTTCAGTGACTCGGGTTTTAGTCCTAAGAAAATAGTTATGTCACGTCAAAATAACATGCTTTTGGAAAAATTAACATAATTAACGTTGTATGAAAGAAAATTCAAGCTAAACACAATAATTCTGCATTCCAACAAAATTTTCAGATTCTAACCGGACACAGCCTTGAGGCAAACGTCAAAGCTCGTGGATGTGATCCTCAAGTTTTGTTGACTGAAGAAGCACACGCCCAGTCTGTGTATGTTAATCATAAAATATCAAGTGAATGACCAGTAGAAATTGTAAGTTTTAAAAATCACATCATCTCCTACTTATAAAGTGCAGTGAACCCTAAATGTTGGGAAAGCTTAGGGTTTTCAAATGTCTCCGGTTTCTCGATGTGAGGAGGGGGGGATATTTTGCGCTTTTCACAAGGCAAATGATAGTTTTGGGGGTCAGATTAATTAATTCCCAGTAGATTAACACAAAAACAAAATCATCAAATAAGGAGAAATCTTATTCACGTTTTAAAAGTCGCGTAGAAAAGGTTTAAAAACAATATAAAATTTCCCAGAATTGCTATTTTGCATTCTAAGACATTTAAAGTCATTCCAACAAACCTGCAAATGAGGTTATTTCTCAAGCGGGCGCGACTTGACCACGCCCATTAAATTCACTAGCTGTTGTTTGACACCCTGATATTTGCAGCTTCGTTCATAGTTTAACTACATAGAACTTCACTGTTTTAAATATTTTAATTGTAATACCGCTAGAGAGAGAGAAAAAATAAAACAACGACAACGAAAAACTTCTTGACTACTCTTACGCATAAAAATAATTTTCAAATATCTACTTTTAAGTACCTTGAAATGTTCTTTGGTTAAAGAACCACTAAAAAACTATTGCAAAAAATATAATATTGTAAAACTCAAACATTTTCCTTCTACTCTTTGACCTGAAGCTTCCCCTTCAGTAATTGGTACCGCCCCTTTATTTCCGTTATACTTATAGTGTTTTTTGTTACTGATTGTATCAACATTAAAACACGATATCAGCTAATTGTGAGGCAGTGGCTTAAGACGGCTGCTACAGGCTAGGCGGAAGTGACGTGAGATTAAATAACCGTGGAATAACACAAACTAGATAACCAGGGAGATATGATTTGGTTGACTAAGGAACTGAAACACTAGTTATTGAGGCAAAAAGTGTTTTTTTTTTTGTTTTGAAAACCCCCAGTTTCAACATATTAAAAAGTTCTACATGGGCATTTTTAGCCAGGTACTTGAATAGACTTTAAAACTATGAGCAAAGAATGAACTGCTTGTATATGTTATGATTTTACTATATAACATATATCGCTCAATAAGTATAAAAGTTACAGTGTTAATGCAAACCGAACATAATGTTTTAACTGTGAGTCGAGTTGCAATGCATCAGATTTTAAAACGCTTTGCTATATAATACTTACAATTCCATTCGGTAGTGTGATACAAGATATTAAAAATGACACCTTAATATTAAAGTATTAGAAGGATTTAGTTAAAATATTAACTCGGAATCAAAATACTGGTTTTGGGGGCCAAACAACAAATAACCTGTTAAATAAATGACTCAACATTTTCTAGCTTTTATCGATTTAATGACTGCTGTGGCGTTAGATCACTAAATACTAAATCTTCTAATCTGTTTTTAAATCTTGATTTCTATCTTGAAACAGCATTAATAGAAAGTTTTATCATTTGGTCAGTTTATATGTCAACGCCGATTCGTATAAATAAACAGGAAACTGTAATCAACCACAACTGTATTACCAATAAAAACCGCAAAAAAATGAAAATTTAATTAAATAAATTATTTGATTCTAAGATAAGTTAAAGATATTTTTTATGAAAATTACCACGACTTCGCCAGTGGATATTTGACATTCTAATAATGATAGACATGCCTTTAGTTTCTGTAAATGTTAAATTTAACTTTTAGTAAAACAAAACAATTTTGTAAAAATCACCAAAAAATATATAAAATTCTGATAAAAAAATTAAACTTATCAATGAAGCAAAGATTTATATCAATATGTTCATAAATTATAACAATTCAGACACATTCAACTTAATTTGGCATAACGTGATAAGTTTTAATGAGGGCTCTATAGACGTTTAATTTGTGTCACAGTGATAAAGTTTGTTTAACAAAATGTCGAAACACAGAACAATCACGGTAATGTACATATATTACTAACAGATAAAATAAAAGATTAGAGCATTAAATATTTACCTAATTTACCAGGGTTTATGTCAAACTGGCCTGCACCGTCAAGAAGAAACAGGGGATTGGAACATAGCTCCTGCAAGGAATGGAGTGAATTATATCATGCTTTATATGCAAATAAATATATTTCTTATAAATATTAAGTTCAAATAAAAAATAAATTATAAACTGGCCACAACTATCATATCATACACTTCAAACTTAAGCCTTAAAGGACGTTTGAATTTCTTGCAAAATCATGAAACTAGTACTAAGGTTTGAGATTTTTTCCATAAGAAAAGCTTATCTTTTCTGTGATAAGGAACATCCGATGTGTACTCTATCAAGAAGATAAAATGAGATCTTAAGCTACTACATTTCTGACTTAAATATTTTCAAAACTATGAAGAGATCCGAATATAGCAAGAACAAACAATATATCAACAATCTATTCATAAACTTAGAGACTGAAAGCTATTGTGTTCTTCACAGAGCATTTTGACTTTCAGTTTTAAATTATTATAGTGATTGTTCAACGAGATTATTCTTTACAAACTGGGCAGATTTCAGGTGTGTTTAGACAAACATCTATAATAACTAAGAATGTATTACTTTATAGATTTATTCATTAAAGAAATGTTCTGAACAAACAAATACCATAACTTACGATATTTGAAATTCCTGGGTTAGTTAAAAGGTTTGTTTTACTCAAAATTTCTCCCGAGTTAGACAAAAAGGCTATTTTTTTCCAAGGTTTATCTGGAGTTAGGTAAAATTATTGCTTTTCTTAAGATTTCTCCTGAGTTTTACAAAATAGTTATTTTTTTCCCAAGATGTATCCTGAGTTAAGTAAAATGATTTTTGTTTCTTAAATTTTCTACTGGGTTAAACGACAAACCGGTTATTTTTTTGCCACTATTTATCTAAGCTAGAAAAATTATTTTTCTCAAAAATTGATCTTTATTGAGATATAAAATTGTATTAGCAGTTTTATTTTATTTTTTATTCTCTTAAATCAAAGCTGTTGTCTATAGTAAATCATTTGAAACTCATGTCGTACAAATAATGATAATTTTCTAGGATACCAAAGTTAAATTAAAAAAAAAGATTCAACTCCATGGAAAGTATAATTCAAATATTCAGTTTAAGGATCAAAATTGAATTCATAATAGTAACGCATATCAGAATTTCAAATAAAATAATTTAGTTTCTGATATAAAATAAAAACGGTGTTTTTATGTATACACTGAGTGGTCACAAGTAAATAGACACCTAATTTTTCTTCATTTAACTGATTTATGCTAACTAATTTGTGTTCACA